GTCTGGGTAATTCTACAACACACACACACACACACACACAGAGCCTAGTGAACATTTCATCCTTTGTTTGTCGCTTTCCTAGGTGGTTTCACAGTAGTCATTCTATCTGTCCAAGGGTGAGATCCACAGAATTAACCAACCTCTGATAGCAAATATTTGAAAAGACCCAACTGTGCCTGTGCTGAGGGTGTAGAGGCTGTCCCTCGTCACAAGCCCCTACTCAGTATGACGGAACAGCTAGTTACCTGGCATCTACATTATGTTAGGTACAATGCACAGGCTGAGGACGGGGGAGAGCATACAAGGAAATGTGTGGTGGGGTGCGAATATCACATCTTTCTGTATGAGGGACTTGGGGCTCTGCAAATTTTCATGTCCTTGGGTGGGTGAGTGGGTCCTGGAACAATTCCTCACAGAGACAACTGCCCTATACCTACAAGAAGAGAGCAAAATGGAAAAGTAGACACAGCATTCTAAACTCAATGCAAAATAGTCATTGAGGTTCCTGGACATGAAATTGCCATGTCTTTTAACGACATGGTACCTAAGTATCAGTGGAATAGAAGTAGCTTATTGATAGGAAGGGACGGAGGGTCTGGTCCTCTGGCTCACAGTGACCACAATCCTCATGAGCTCACTTCTGAAATCTATAAAATGATATAGATGTGTCTACCATACGGGTATAGTGTAGGAATAAAATGATTCCCCAGCAGAAGTCTGAAAAAGAAATTTCTACAAAAAGATTCTGAAAAAGGATAATCTCTTGGGCAGCAGCTAAAACTATTTCTAGGATATCAAGGAAAATTTAGTTAAAGTTTTAGAAAAACTGGCTGAGAACATAGTAGATGCTATCAACGGAGGTTTTCTTTTTTCCACTTTTATTTAGATCAGTGGAAATGTTAATGTTTCTACAGTACAAATTCTTTCTCCCTCAATATATAGACAGCCAAGTTCAATGCTATTACTTGAAAATAACTAACTGAAACATTTTAGGCCACTGAGGGAATATTAGACATGATTTAATTTCCCTGCCTTACTTTACAGAAAACAAAACACTTGTATGGGTATATCACATATTCTCAGATGAGATGAAATTTGGAATTGGATGATAGGAAAAATGTGTTGTTGGGTAAGACATATAAATATATACTATAGAAACATAGGTAGTACATTTGTGGCATTAATATTTCACTGGGGGATACTTCAGAGATATTTTTTTTTTTCTAAAAAAGTCTCCCATAACTGAGTGTAGTGGTACACACATGTCTGTAATCCTAACACTTAGGAGGCTGAGGCAGGAGGATCAGCATGTCTTTGAGGCCAGCCTGGGCTTCACAGTGAGACCTTGTCTCTAAAAAGCAAAAAACAAAGAAATAAAAAAAGTCTCCCTTAAAGGAGTCATAATGAAAAAAGACTTGAGAAGGGCTACACCAGCCTCAAATGAGGATCCAAATGTCCTTGTTAAATAGGGCCTCACTTAATCGGGTACAGCCACCACCGTAGGAGACCTGAAATTACGCAGTTCTGCACACATCCTGTTCTCCTTCAGGACCAGCAGAAGACTGTTGCGGTATCATTACTCAGGACTTAAGTTGATGGCCAAAGTATTGCCTGTAGTTTTCTAGCAGTTGGAACTATTATTCTGAAAATACTGTGCAGAAGTAAAAGAAAACTTGACTTCAGACATATGTATTCTGCAGTGGAAGGAGCTCGGCTGCTTCAGGTGAAGGGGTGACAGGGTGACAACAGTTGGGCTGTGAGCAGCAGCTGCAGAGGGTTGCATGACATGGGCAAACAGGAGGGATCACAGCAGAAGTGACTTGGAATCTTACCCTGTTGCTAACCTTCCAGTGGTAACAATGAGTGTCTACCTTGAGACCATGATGATAGTTTCAACAAATTCTTAAGAATCTACAAAACCAGCCAAGCGACTCGAATCTCCTCACATAACCTTACCCAAACTACTTACAGCAGCGTTTCACTCTATTTTCTAATACAGAAGTAAAATTAATCTTAGAATTCCCCAGATGGAAAGAATTCTAGACATCATTCTAACCTGTTCGTGTACACATGGGGAATCACACATTGTGACCTACATTTTTCTCTTTAAATGTGATCTCACAGAGCTGTGTCACAACTGCTCAGAAATAAGAGAACACACAGTTTAAGGGAAGCTGAAAATGTCTTATCTTCATAGGTCACTGGAATATCCTTAGGTTTTTCAAATATTTGACTGTGAGAACTGCAATATTAGTTCATGATCTACTGCAGTTTTGGCTTGACCCTGAAGACAGGAAGAGGATCTCTGTGATGGTTTGGTGTTCAAAGTGTTCCTGAATTCTCATGTGACAGACACACAGGCATGAAAACATATGATAGCCAAGGGTCTGTTTCCTACATGTAAGCAGAACATTCATAACTTTTGAATAAAGACAGGTGCTTAAAATAAGATGGAATTTAGATAAATGAGACATTGTTAAAGCACTTATATAACCATGTAGAGAAAGCTATTAACATAACTAACATAAAAAGCAAAAATTTTTGGCCTAAAAAAGTCATTTTGGTTAATCTGAAATTTCTAAGTTCCATAGGAAAATCCAAGAGTTTTCTATGGTGTTTAAGAAAAGTAGAAAAACACTTTCACACTGACATGTTCATGAGCAGTTTTAAAAAACTCACATCAGATGTAAGCAAGATTGAATCTTTAATTTGATGGCTATCCTCCAAGCAGTGATCAAAATGGAATAAGATAGCCTTATATCGACGTTATGAAAGGAAACAGCTGAGCGTCTCACCCCAAACTAAAAAGCTGATGCTTGTGGGTTGGGTGGATGAGAAAAAGTTTGTGACATTGCAAAAGTGGTACAATTTAGAGACCGAAATGGTCTTTACAGCCCTTAGTCACTCTTCCTATTGTGTAGAGTCCAATTCAGTTAATTATTGGTAGTGAGAGCCTAAAAAATGTTTAACTCATCTGTCATAAAAATTTGTATCATGAGAAGCAGTGCTACTTAACTACTAGAACAGGAGGAAAAGCAGTATTTGTTAACTATTTCTGCCTTAACACAAAAAAAATAAACTGACAAGTCTTTTAAATACTTTCTAGTCCCCAGTCTCTACCATAAAATAGGTCACTCCTTCAATAGTAGAGTATATGGGATTGGAACATTTGTGTATCAACAATATTAATGTTTATACTTCTAAGCAACAGAGACAGAAATGCTGCTAGTAATTAAGGTTCTCCAAATTATGACTTTTAGCCATTAAGTATACATCTAACATTGAAATTATAAACTTTCAACTATTTTCATGATAAAGTTACAGCATTTCTCAGCATGCACAATTAGCTAATAATTTTAAAAGGATTTTGAAACATAAAGATATAAAACATGCTTCCTCTACTTTACAAACTATTAGCCAAGTGAAGGCTTTAAGGTAGAAGTGTTGGATGATTACCAAATAAGAATTCTTCCCCGAGCCATTCCTGTAAAGTCTTCCATGTAATTATGAATGATGCTCTAATGGAAAGGCCACATGGAATCATAAATCCTCAGAAAATTTCTATTGCTTCTCTCACTTTGATCTTCTGCGAGCAAGGCGAGGGCTTCTTGAGAGTTTTATAACAACAATGCCATTTGTCATAAAGAATCATACGTTACAGTCGCACAGGGGAGTGAAGGAAGGGGGCAGAGGATATGGTAAGGAAAGGGTTCTATACACAGTTAAAGCTGCGAGATGCTAAACTCCATTAGGAAGACAAACAGGAAAGCACAGCTTCATTGTTGAAAACAATTTCCCTCCTATCAGTCCAAAGATTCATGCATCAATATTGTAGATGAACTGTTAATTACAAAATCAATTAAAAATTATTTCTAAAAACAGTCACGCAACTCCAGCTCTCTCGGGGGCAATTTGGGCAGAAGGTCTCGTCTCACTAGGACCGCGCCAAATCACAAAGTCGTCATCCACAAGTAAGCAAAAGCAATCTGGTTTTTCATTTTTCAGCGCGGCTGAGCCCAGCCTGAGATTGATCGTCACATATGGCCCCAGAAAACAAACTGTCAATACCTTGAATGCTGCAGAATTTGAACAAATAGCCGCCCGCCCATTCAAGCCGCTCATTGCATCCCATTTAACAGATTTTATTGACAGTTTCCTTCTTGTAATTAAAGGGAAAACTACTGGCCAGCAACCAAGATAAAGTTCAAAGATAGGGTCAAAACAAAAGCAGATGGAGGGGCACGGTGTGACTGTCAATGGCACCCCGCATCAGAGCGTGTTATTGACACACAGGTATCTAATGATCGGCACGTCATTAAGGAGGGATCTATCCTGAACTTATGCAAATGATGGGAGAGACTTAAGATCACCATAAAGCATTCTGAGGGGCACAAAGGGGAAGACAACAAAGCAACAACGATTTTTACTTATCAGAGGTTGCTCTCTATTTTCGCACACTCCGGTTCAAAGGGAAAAGAACATTTATCCCACCATTCTTAACCCTTGCTGTGTAGGTGCAACCAGCATGCAAACACTCCTTCCGCTGAGTTTGGTTTCTGAAGAATTCCAGAATGGAAGAGATGGAGTGTTCTTTGAGATCCAACATGAAAAGTAACGTTAAATAAATTTTCCCCACTGCAAAAATTTGTATTTCTGAGGAGAAAGTGCTTTAGGCAAATGTCTCACCAACACTGACTTGTGTTTGGAAAACAATGGGGCAGATTCCGCAAGAGCTTTGGGCTTGTGATGTTCCAGATTAGTAAATGCAATAGGGAGGAAAAGTTTCACAGCTTTCTTTTCAATGAGCAAGTACAATGAAATTAATTCACTTCAAGAGTATTTCCCTCCTTTCTAACTTTTCACTAGAAAGCTGTACTGACGGTAGTTTTGCTGACTCACACAGAATTTACAAACTAGGGCTGGCAAGTTCCTGAAGAAGTTAAGCAAGAGGGTCAGACAGACATTAAAAAATGCAACAACCACCATGCCCGCGTGCCAACCTGAATTAGCGAGAGCTATCGCTTTGAGGGTGACAAATTCTTCTTTCTCCAGCTTCATGCTCTTGTATTTCTTTACCAGCTGCAGGATAGCATTATTGAGGTCAAGAAGCCCTGCTAATTTGGACTGGTCTTCGTCCATTATATAATCGTCTGCATAGACAAGTTCATCCTCAAACGAAAGCGATCGGTATACGACACCAAGGATCAAAATTTCCATCCAAGCACTTTGGAGGAGGCTCATCTGGTCGGCCAGAGACAGCGTGGAGAAGCCTGCACAGGGAGATGGGCAGATCAGGTTACTTTCCAGGCATCATTTCATAATGCGACATTAGTTTGCTATGTGCTCAGCTTCTGCGTCTCAGCTCAAAAGGATGCTGAGCTCTGCCCAGAAGCCCTTTCCATTCCCCACCCCCGCTGCAACCCCTGATCAGACAGCAAAGGAAAAGTCACACACCGGCTTCAATCTGTGGATGTTTTCGTAGGTTTTATAGACACAGCTGAGGGCACTATAATACAGACACAGTGTTCTTCCCTTCACTTGCAAAGCAAGTACCACATAACCTTGATACTGGACATCTGGCTGAAGTTTTGCAAATATGTTACATGACGTCAGATTTTGAACTACCTAATTTTGAAAATCTAGTATCAGTGAACACAATAAAAGTGAAAGAAAACAAAGCAAGACAACAACCCCCAAGGGAAAACAAATGGTGCACACCGAGCATAACTTGGAAACCTTTCCCTGGAACAGTCATAAAGCAGAGGATTATGCAACCAGACGAGCTCACTGACTATTTCATCCTCAGTAACATTCACTGGGAATTTCCTTTTAAAATAGTAGTTCCTGATGTAAAAACAATCAGAATACTTAGCAGCCTGGCCTCCTCACCAAACAGGAAAGCCACAACTTATTTATATTACTAAGGTCCAATTTAGTTAAAAGTTAGATATAAAAATAATTGGGTGTAGTGGAATCAATACGAGAAGGTCCTGAAGTGATTATTAGGATAAGGGCTAGTTTCCTTTGAGCAGGTCAATGAACCTGTACATTAATTTTTGCAGTTGGGAAATCCAACCTCCACTTAAACATTAGTTTATAATAGACATTTGAATATTTTACCACATTATACATTACTTTTCATCCAAAATATCTGGTTGATTCCATTCACACATGCACATTTAAAGTCCCTTCTAAGCCTGGAAAACACATGCAAACAAAAAACTTTCATAAAAATTCTGTTCCATGAGGAAAGACAAAGCACTACGGCTCAACCTACTCAAGTAGAGATTTACATTCTTATACCAGAGAGTCTAGATCTGTACTCTAAGTGAAAGTCTCCATGAAGATACCTGAGGGTAGGGTGCTTCTTTCAAGAATCCTAAAAAAGAAATATTTTACAGCTAAGGAATGGTATAATTGGAAACTCCAAGAATGACCCTCCCATGGTTCATGAAAGCAATGGTATCAAGATTCAGAGTCCGGCCGCTAGCCCTGCCACAGAATGTGGGAATACTTTGAATAATGCAACTTAACGTATCTATTTTCATCCCCCCCAAATCATTAATATCTACTTACACCCAGCCTTGCCAGGCTCCTATTCATGATCACTGTCATTTTTATTCCTATCAAATTGTTCACATCCCATATCATACTAGAAACTGCAGCACAAGAAATAAAAGGAAATGATTTCCTGGCATATTGGTGCAAATTAGTAGTTAGCCACTTGGTACCCCTATGTATAAGTGCTTAATAAAATCAAAGGAATCAGTCCAGCTTTGGTGAGGGGCTTCCTGGCCTGCCTACAGGCATTTCCTTCATTGTTATGGTACCTACGCGTTATCTGACAGGGGTCTTTTTGATCTGGGTGTATCCTTATTTTTCTCCTTATTCTTTTTTTGCCATTATAATTTGGACTTCAATTAATGCATATCCTCTTCAAACTAGAGATGGAATAACTGATAGCATTTTGAATGGGGACTCAAAAGAGAAATGTGAAGACCTAAGAATGGGTTTGGGTCCAAGCGCTTTTGCCTCGGGGGCAGGGGTGTCACACTCAACAGTGACAAAAGATAAAAACCACGCTGCTCTTTTGCCATCCTGGTTCTCTTAGTAGCACCCACCTTCCTAAGAAAAAGGAGCAATACAAATCCAAATATCCAACTCAAGAAAAAAAAGTAGGGATTTCTTTTGCAGAGTAAATCAACAAAAAAATGCATGATGGTCTGGAAGGTTAGGAGCGAGCAGAGGCAGGAGTTTGAGTCTGCCCTGGCTTCTGTCCTTTCTTTCAGGCTGGGAGCAGCAGCTTCTCTGCTGCCGCAGATGGCTAACTATAGACAGAGCCTATAGCCTGCAGCGCCTGGTGACAGCCCAGCTCTCCCTCCCAGACACCGCTGTTAGTAAATAGATTTACACATTCCCCAATCTCCACACATCTTTCTGCCGAATAATTAAAAGCAGGATGATTAGTTTATTGAGTGGAAGGAGGAACTTTTTTATTGAGGTCCATCCACGATTTTATCAGGGCCAGCACTTTTACGGTTGTCAGGGGGTGCAGGCATCCAATTTTTCTTATCTGCCTGATTAATACAAACGCTGTTTCAGGACGCATTAATTAACAGATACAAATCTACGTTCTCATGGAAGGATCAATACGGAGAAGAAAAGAGGCATCAATGTGAATTTAGTGCCGATGATGGAGAAGGCACGCTATCGACATTTACGTGCACGGAAACTTTAAAGTTGTACCCGGGCCCCTTTGTCCCTGTGATTTAGAAATTAACAATTTTGCAGCCACAACAATGTTGCACACATTTCTTTGGGGTTTAATTAAGCTAAAAGCAATAAAATTTCATTTTTTAGGGCTGCTCCTGCAATTTGTTTTTGTGAGTGTGTTTTACCCTTTTTGCAAACCTAACTTTTTCCTTTCATTTCTCCTTGAAATAAAGACAGGGGAGAAAAGGTAAGAAAAAGGTACTTTTTTTGGTTTTGAGCAAGAAATGGAGGGAGATGGTGGTAGCAGAAATCTGGTGAGTTTGCTCGCTTTATTTAGGGCTCTTTCAGCTGAGTGAAGGAAGTGTAATTTTTAGGAAAGAAGGACGAGCATGCTTTACAAAATAAAATAAAAGTCTGGATTTCTATCTCTTCTCAGTCTAGAAATAGCTGTCTCATATTTAACTCTTTACCATCACCCCCTGAGCTCTACAAGCTGGTACAAGTGCCTCCTGACCCAACAGCTCAGCAGTACTTTAGCCTTGGTTTGCATGACACAGGCCCAATAGCTGTTTGCTTTCTTTTATAGGCAACACAAAACACAGAGAAAGTGCCAAATAAAAGGTAAATAATAGGAAGTAGAAAGATCTTTTTCTAATGGGAAGGGAAACAAGAGATGAGGGGGGAAGGTGAGGGAAAGGGGTTGGGGAAAATAAATGAAGAAAAAAATGGAAATATACCTTTTGCAAAGGTCAGTATCTAAGAGTTGGAAGGAGCAGAGGGGGATGCAGGAATAGGGGACACAAAATCGTTAGGTTGTGTTCCATGCATGTACCAACTCCCCACAATATATGTAATCACTATGTGCTGCGAATGTGTACTCATAAGAATATAGAGATATTATTTTAATTCCAAAAATTAATTTCCCACCCTTTGGGACTGCTAACTATATGGCACATCCATAAAGACACATACAGAAAATAATATCTTTATCAATAGACCTGAGCAAAGTATAGAAAATCTGAATGACCCAGGCCTAAAGAAAAATGCATGTTTTAGTAAACTAGGTTAAGCGATTTTTCTAAAGGCATGATTTGTCTACTAGGTCACACCAACTTGTATGCACACAGTAATCACTTGTGTGCACTTTCACCAGGCATTTAGTGTTTTTGTTTTTTACAGCAGGCTACAAGTTAGAGGGCCTCTTTGCCTGTAACATTCAGTTCCTTTGGAGAGAAACCTCTTTTCCAAGTGAAACAGAATATGCTCTGCAGTTGTGTCATTTGAACTTCATGTTTTATACATCCTGGGATCTTAATCTTTGGCGGGTGACAGGTTATAGTTTTAAATGTTCAGCTGTATTACAGCATTTTAAAATACACTGATACCATGGGACATTTTTTTTCCTCACCAGCCACAGCCTGTTTGATGCATATTCCTGACAACTCTGATCTCTCTTCATCTCTGTCCCAGAGTCACTGCTATTTAATGTAGCCCAGGCATTCGGCTCGGCAGACTGACGCTACCCTGACCTGGAGTTAAAGAGCATGTTTATCTGCACTACAGTGTGCTCTACACAAACCACACGACATTTGGAAGGAACATCATTTGGGACAACTGCAAACCTTCTCGAGAGGCAGGTACCCCGGCGGTGACGGGCTTGAAAGCAGGCTCTGTGAAGCCCTCTGCCTTCTGCAGTCACCGACTTCGGAGGCTCACAGCAGCGCCACGAGCACTCATCAGGCATATTATCCCCCCGGCCCGGCAAACGGACGCACTGTGCAGTCAACTTACAAAAAAGGCTAAGCATTTAAAAGTGTGAAGGGCAAAAAATATCTGACGGCTAGTCTTCAAAAATACACTTTCATTTCAGAAAGCATAAATGTTTATTTCCTGAACAGAGTGTTGACAGAAATAGGCTGCAGCACAGGCATTTGGGTTTAACCCCTGCTAGGCATTTTCTTCTCAGCTGCCTTCTTGAAACTCACAGCAAGCACTTTAAATCTTCAGGGTGTCTCGTAATGTCAGCTAATCATGGCATTGATTTGCCTGCTCAGTTTTTGAACTGTGCTCCTGTTCCTCAAAAAAACGGATGCTCTTCAACAAATAGCACATCATACCGGAACTGTAATTGACTCACGGGTCAGCAAGCAACATATGTGAAGTTTGGCCAGAGAAGATAACACAGGCATAGCATAAGTGAGACTCCTTCTCTCCCTTACGGCACACCTAATGTTTACAGGAGCCAGGAGGAAAACTGTAACAATGGCACTGAGCTTTGGTATTAGGTCCTACAGACAGCTGGGTGTACAGCCCTTGTTACAGAAAAACTCACACTGCATTTCTAAGCTACATGCTCTGTCCATGTATGGTCAGATGGATCACTGGATCCATGACTGCCAAAATGCACAGCTCTGATTCTGATTGGACATTTTATCCTGGTGGCATGCATGTGTCATGTGCATGTGTGTGCATGTATGGTGTGTGTGTGTATGGTGTGTGTGCGTATTTTACAGACTCTAGCTCACGGGGAGGACAATTAAGCATCTACAGATGGTTA